ATGCATTGCAAATTGGTAACAATGGGCCAAGCGATAGCAACACTAACAACACCGCTGTCGTCGCTGCTGCCTCCACCCAACCCACCATAGCTGCTGCTTCAGATTTAGATTTAAATGATATTGATATGGATAACGATGGTGATGATGACGAAATAAGCAACCAAATACAAATACAGCAACCACAGCAACCACAGCAGCAGCAGCAGCAGCAGCAGCCGCAACTACAACCGGCACTAAGCATCGAAGAACTGGCCGCAAAAATTGCAGAAATTGAGACCAAATTCAAAAGAGAGAGAAGAGAAATCAAACGATGGGCCATAAATAGAATTTCATCGAGTATGAAAAGTAGCAAACAAAAGATTGCTCAGAAACGCATACTCAACACTCGCATTAGCAAACTATGTAGATTACCGATGAATGTGCTTCTTCAGCAAAGAAGGTATAGTGCTGCTACTACCACCCGCCGCCACCCAACAAAAAGAACAACTGGCGATGATATCAATATGATTGATAGCAGCAAAAGCAGCAACAGTACACAACCAATATTCTTCGACCGGTTAATTCAAAAAGTGAAAAACGATTTGAACCGATTCAACAAAAATAAACAACAAAGAAGAAAAATTGATAGGGATAAAGCCCGACAAGCTAAACTTATTAAAGCAACGTTAAAACGAATGGAAAAACTAAAAATCAACAACGATAAACCAGTAAAAAATAAGTCAACAACAAAGCAGCAAGCGATGTCATACACGCTGCCACCGCAGCAGCAACAGCAACAGCAACAGCAGCAAAGACAATGCTTCACATCCGTTGGTCTCGTTAATATATCAAACAATTGCTTCATAAATGCAACTATCCAATGTTTATATCATATTAAACCATTTGTCACTGCTGTCCAACTTCTCACAATTGCTCACGTTAATACTGTCAAAATGATTGATGCAAGAGATTATGAATGTGGTTCAACAAATTGTGTTTTGTGTCATCTTTCTTCTTATTTTGACCAAATTACACAAACACTGTTGCAAAATTTAAATCCAAACCGAGTTGCACTTTTACGCTTACATACAAATATAACGAAAATAATAAATGGCCAACAAATTGGACAACAAGGTGATCCGCATGAATTTATCATCGGTTTGTTTCGGATAATCAATGAAGAAATGAACAAAACAAACTCGAATGTAAACGGTTTTATGACTGCACAAAGAAATATCCAATCGGTCTTCAACAATGGACGAATTGTAGAGAAATACACATGCCTGGGTTGCCACCATGAACACATAAATCCAAATAGAGAAGACTTTAAAATACTTTCAATTGGAATCGATGATGGTGGCATCATCGATAGCGTTGCTGAAGGTATTGCTAAATATTTCGAAGATGAAATATCATCTGATTATGTTTGCAAAGGTTGCACGAATAAAGGAATATCAACAATAAACAAGAAGATTAAATCAACATCTGAAATGCTAATTGTCCATTTAAAACGGTATATAAACATCCAAAATAAAGATAAAAACAAGAACGCAACACTAAAACGGCTATCGAATGCAATTCAATATGATTTGGATTTGGATTTAACACAATTTGCTGTTGAAGAACAACAACAACAACAACAACAACAC